CAAAAGAAGGCTGGTGTGGAGTTCTAATTTCAGACAATTTAGTTTTTAAACAACAAAAGTAGTGAAAGACAAAAGAGGGTCATTATAAATGGTGAAGGGCACAGTCCAACAAAGAAGAGATAACAATTTTAAATATATATGCACCAACTTAGGTGCACCAGATTCATAAAGCAAACCTTACTGGAGCTAAGCAAATGGATTAATAGCAACTCCATAATCGCCAGAGATTTCAACACCCCACTGATGGCACGAGACAGATCCTCACAACAGAAAATTAATAAAGAAATAATGGACTTAAACAAACTCTAGAACAATTGGTCTGACAGATCTTACAGAACATTCTACCCAAAATCCACTTGAATATACGTTCTTCTCATCAGCTCATGGGACATTCTCTCAGATTGACCATATCCTAGGACACAAAGAAATCTCAAGAAATTTAAAAAAATGAAATCATACCATGTACCTTCTCAGATCACAGTGGAATAAAAGTAGAAATCAACCCTAACAGAAACTCACATTTCTACACAAAAACGTGGAAATTAAACAACCTCCTACTAAATGATTACTTCATAAATGAAGAATCAAGACGAAATAAAAAACTCTATGAAGAAAATGTCAATGGAGAGACAAGTATTCAAATCCTTGGACACAGCTAAAGCAGTTCTGAGATGAAAGTTTATCTCCATAAATGCCTATAACCAAAAGACAAAAGATCACAAATAGACAATCTCATGAAACGACTCAAAGAGCTGGAAAAGAAGAACAGACCAACCCTAAACCAGCAAAAAAAGTGAAATCAACAAGATCAAATCAGAACTAAATGAAATTGAAAACAGGGAAGCTATTCAGGAGATTAATAAACAAAAAGTGGTTCTTGAAAAATAAACAAATTGACACACCATTGGCTAAGCTAATGAAAAGCAGAAAGAGAAATCTCTAATAAGCTCCATCAGGAATAAAAAAGGAGATATCACAACTGATCCCAAGAGAATACAAGATACAATTTATGAATACTACAAAAATTTTATGCACACAAACTGGAAAATGTGGAGGAAATGGCTAGTGTTTCTAGAAACACACAGCCTCCCTAGGCTCAACCAGGAAGAAATAGATTCCCTGAACAGACCAATCTCAACAGCTGAAATAGAAACAGCAATTAAAAATCTCCCTAAAAGAAAAAAGTCCCGGTCCAGATGGCTTCACCTGAATTTTACCATATTACAAAGAAGAACTAGTACCTATCTTGCAGAAACATTCCACAACATCGAGAGAACGAAACCTCCCCGACACCTTTTATGAAGCGAATATTACTCTGATACCAAACAAGAAAGGATGCAAACAAAAAAAAAACTACAGACCAATATCCCTAATGAATATAGATGCAAAAATTTCAACAAAATCTTAGCTAACCGAATCCAGACTTATCAAAAAATAATCCACCACGACCAAGTGGGCTTCATCCCAGGGATGCAGGGATGGTTCAACATACGTAAATTATAAATGCAATTCACCACATAACAGAAGCAAAACAAAGACCACATGATCTTTCAATAGATGCAGAAAAGCTTTTGACAAATTCAAACCCTTTCATGATACGAACACTTAAAAAATAGGCATAGAAGGGACATACCTAAAAATGATACAAGCCATATATGACAGACCATAGCAACATCAAACTGAATGGGGAAACATTGAAATCATTCCCACTTAGAACTGGACCAGACAAGGCTGCCCACTATCTCCACTTCCGTTCAACATAGTGCTGGAAGTCTGGCTACAGCAATCAGACAGGAAAATGGAATCAAAGGTATCCAAATAGGGGCAGAAGAGAATCAAACTCTTCACTGCTTGCTGATGATATGATATTGTATCTAGAAAACCCAAAGATTCAACCAGAAACTCCTGGAACTGATCAATGAATTTAGTAAAGTCCAGATCAAAATCAATACACAGAAATCAGAGGCATTCATATACCGACAACAACACTAATTGAGAACCAAATCAAGACTCAATTCCCTTCACAATAGCAACAAAGAAATAAAGTACCTAGGAATATACTTAACCAAGGATGTAAAAGACCTCTACAGGGAGAACTATGAACACTGAGGAAGGAAATAGCAGAGGATGTAAACAGATGGAAATCCATACCATGGTCGTGGATCGGCAGACTCAATATCATCAAAAGTCTATACTACCCAAACTGATCTACAGATTCAATGCAATACTTATTAAATCCATCAGCATTCTTCACAGATATAGAAAAATATTTTACACTTCATATGGAACCAAAGAAGACCCCGAATATCAAGAGCATTCTAGGCAACAAAAACAAAATGGGAGCATTAATATGCCAGATATCAAACTATACTACAAAGCTGTAGTAATTAATCAATATGGTATTGGCACAAAATAGGAATATTGACCAGTGGAACAGATGGAGAATCCTGATATAAAACCATCCTCCATATAGCCATCTAATCTTTTATAAGCAGACAAAACATATGCTTGGGAAAAGAATCCCTTTCTAATAAATGGTGCTGGGAAAATCGGATAGCCACCTGTAGAAGGCTAAACAGGACCCACACCTTTCACTCTCACAAAAACCAACTCACGCTGGATAACAGACTTAAACCTAAGGTATGAAACTATTAGAACTCTAGGGAAAAAGTTGGAAACACTCTCCTAGACATCGGCCTGGGCAAAGAGTTTATGAAGAAGTCCCCAAAGGCAATCACAGCAGCAACAAAAATAAATAAATGGGACATGATCAAACTACAAAGCTTCTGCACAGCCAAAGAAATAGTCATGAAAGTAAACAGACACCTACAGAATGGGAGAAAATTTTTGCATCCTATGCATCCGATAAGGACTGATACTAGAATATACTTAGAACTCACGAAATCAGGAAGAAAAAATCAATAACCCATTAAAAAGTGGGCAAAGGACTTGAACTGAAACTCTTCTAAGAAGACAGAAGAATGGCAACAACATATAAAAATGCTCAACATCTCTATCATCAGGGAAATGCAATCAAAACCACAATGAGATATCACTTAACCCCAGTGAGAATGGCCTTTATCAAAAATCTCCAACAATAAATGCTGGCATGGATGCAGAAGAGAGAGGAACACTCTACACTGCTGGTGGGACTGCAAACTAGTTCAACCTCTGTGGAAAGCAATATGGAGATACCTTAAAGCATACAAGTGAATCTACCATTTGATCCAGCAATCCTATTGCTGGGCATCTACCCAAATGATCCAATGACACTCTACAAAAAACACCTGCATCGAATGTTTATAATTCATAATTTATATATAATTCGAATGTTTACAATCATAATTGCAAGGCTGTGAAACAGCCCAAGTGCCATCAATCCAAGAATGGATTAATAAAATGTGGTATATTGTATACCATGGAGTACTATTCAGCTCTAAGAAACAATGGGTGATATAGCACATCTTATATTTCCTGGTTAGAGCTGGAACCCCATACTACTAAGTGAAGTGTCCCAAGAATGGAGAAACAAGCACCAGATATATTCTCCAGCAAACTGGTATTAACTGAGTAGCACCTAAGTGGACACATAGGTACTACAGTAATAGGTATTGGGCAGGTGGGAGGGGGAGGGGGCGGGTATATACATACATAATGAGTGAGATGTGCACCATCTGGGGGATGGTCATGATGGAGACTCAGACTTTTGGGAGGAGGGGAGGAAATGGGCATTTATTGAAACCTTATAATCTGTACCCCCATAATATGCCAAAATAAAAATAAATAAATAAATAAAAAATAAACATTAGATAAACAACTGTGTGCCAGCTACTGTTCTAGGCACTGGGAATGTAGTGGCTAACAGAATAGACAAGGCCCCCAATCTCATGGAGTTGATATTCCAGACAGGGGAAAGACAAACAAAAACATACATAGGCAAGAAAAAAAAATCAGAAGTGGTAAATGTTATACAGGGAATTAAAATTAATTGCTGTATCACTTCATGAGTTTAAAATAAATAAATAAAATTAATTTCTGTAACAGCGATTTGGTAGCTGCTTTAAATTGCGGGACCAGGAAAGTCCTCCCAGGAGGAAATAATCAAGTAGATATTTGAATGATGAGAGGGAACCCACCAAGGGAAGATCAAGGAAAAGAGGGTTCCAGGAAGATGGAATAAGCAGCACAAAGCCTGGGGGCAGGACCAAGCTTGCTCTGTCAGGGAGCGTGCGCAGGTGGGTGAATGGGGCAGGTGGTTGGAGGAGGAAGCTGGAGAGGCAGGCAGGGGCTGGACTGCAGCAGAGCCTGTGGGCCAGGCAGGGAGTTTAGATTTTATTCCAGTCGCAGTGGGGGAAATGAGGAAAATGATAGGATCTTAAGAAGGGGAATGATAGGATCTGATTTACCTCTTTCAAAAGATCTTCCTGCATGCCACAGGAGAATGGAATTCAACGGGGCAACAGTGCAAGACCCCAGTTGCCTAAAATACTTGTGGCTAGATGTGGCTTGTCATGTCTTTATGAAACTGCTGAACTGCTCAAGCTGCAGCAGAGACTAAGCAGACACGAGACCTCTGCGTGGATCTGCATTACTCAGCTGAGACCTAGGACTACAGGAAGAATGGCTGTGTATGAGTGACCGGTTTCTCTCCCTGGGTACCCTGCTTGTCCTCCATGAAGGCGCCTGGTCTCCGTCGTAGAGTAAGCTGTTTAGCTTCCCCGCGCCTGGAGTCCCTGGTGCCATGTCTTCAGGCCCACTTCGCACTGTGTGCCCACTTGTCTACTCCACAGACGGGGAGTTCTGGGATGGCTGTCCTTGTCTCGGTTAGCTATCTGCGTCCCTGATCACCTAACGTAACAGCACTTCACAAAAGCTCGATAACGTCTGATGAGGTGGATAAATGTTTTGTTTTGAAACTGCATGGACCTCCAGAAGCCCCAAGGATAAACGCTGTTAGAAATGCACCCACGCGCAGAACACCCCGAAGCCCAGCTGCTTACCTCCTGGGCGAGTCAGGGTCGAAGCAGGTCTTGCGCACGTCGGCCACCGCAGGGTCGCAGCAGTCCCCGTCGTCGAAGTCGTTCAGCATGTTGTTGCACTCGGCGTGGCAGACGCCGTCCCTGCGGTTCCAGGAGTAGCAGCGGGCCTGCAGCCGGCAGTCGCCGCCGTCGTAGCCGGTGAGCGGGTGCTCGCACTCGGGGTCACAGTGGTCGTTGCCGACCTTGCCGGGCTCGCAGTTGACGAGCACGACGCGGCGGCGCAGGGTGGAGTTGTGCACCCGGCGGACGCTCAGCCGCCAGCTGATGTTGTAGCGCGCGAAGGCCTCGTTCAGGGCGGCGTGCTGCCGGCGCACCTGCTCCTCGCTCACCGTGGGGTCCCGGCCCTCGTCGTCGCACACGTTCACCACCTGGTAGCGTAGCACCTTCTCCCCGCGCAGCGGCCAGTGGCCGTTGTACTGCGAGATCAGCTCCACGTTGTCGCAAGCCGTTTGTCCGCAGGGAGGGGGCTGCAGAGGCGACAGAACCTCGGGCTCTGGCCCGGAGCCCTGGAGAACCTCGAGCCGCGGGAACGTCCCTTCTCTGAAAGGAGCCCACTGTTCTTCCAGGGGCTCGAAGCTGGCGGCCAGCACCAGGGCGCTCAGCTGCTCCGCCCCGTCGGCACGCTGCGGGCTGTGCTGCAGGTGGCCCTGCGGGAGCGCGGCCGACCACACGGCCAGCGTGCCCACGTGTCCGCGGAAATGGTGCCCGCGCTCCGAGCTGTCGCCGCCCAGGAGCAGAGAGCGGCAGGACGCCATGAAGGGGCTGTTCAGGGGCCCAGACTGGTCCGGGCTACTAGCCACCTGGGTGCCGTCCACGTACAGGGCCATGCGCCGTCCGTCGTACGTGGCTGCCACGTGCGTCCACACGCCCGGTTGGTAGCGCCTGTGGGAAACCACGACGGTGGCTTTCTTCATACGGTCGGTGCGCAGGGAGAAGAAGAATCGGGCATCTCGCCTTCCCTTATCCGTCCCTGAGCGGATCCCCAGGGCCCAGCCCTTGTCACTGACAGTGTGGGAGCAGTTGTCAAACACACCTGGGAAAGACGGAAGAATCAAGGGAAAAATACCAGATACAAAAGGGAGTGGAGAAAGGGAGAAGAAAACCCATGTCAATAGCAAGAATGTAGGCCTTTATTAGGGACAAAATAAGTGATACCTAGTCCCCACTTAGATGCCTGTGTAGACCCCCGTATCAGACCATTCCAACAACGGCTACCCCCAAAAGGAATCTGATTTGAGATTCTACCCAATTCAACTCATTCTGCTATTTCTACACAACCAGAACGGAAGCTGGAAAGCAGATACCCACTGCACATGACAATCACCCTCAGTGCTTCGTGCTCAGCTTCCCTCATGCTAACTGGCTCTGAGGCCGTGCCTTTCCCCACTCATTCCGGCTCCTTGATTTCCTTGCAAATCATCAGGGTAGTCATAGTTTCTCCAGACGATTGCAATCTCCTGCTCTCTCAAAGGTCATTTTGATCTACAGAACGTTAAAACGATGATTATCATTAGGAAAACAAGGAGTTGGTGAACCAGGGAGCCCCTTAGAGAAATTGCAATATCCCAGACATCGCTCCTAGCCCACCATCCCCTCTGGGACCTCTCCCTAGCAAGGACACCCATCCACAGAGGACACTGTTTCCCAGGGTGAGCGAAATGGCATCGTCCCACGGTTCTGCCTGAAACCTGGCAAGTCAGTTATGAGAGTGACTGTTCTGTACCCAGCGATGCCCACCGCAGTACAGAACTCTTCCAGATAAATGAAGGTCCTGCCGTGGGCTCCCTCAGCACCTTGCTCTCAGAGGCACAGGACTACTACACCCAGTGGAATAAACAGAGGAGGTAACACCTGTGGAAGGGCATCAGTGAGCTGGCGGCAGGAAGGGGCAGCAGGGTGGACGTGGCACAACTGCAGATGAAAGGGAGCCCTGAGGCAGTCTGGAGGCCTTGAATGGCCCCAGAACCCATCTTCAGTCACCCCCATCTCCTTCTGAGCGCCTCCTCTAGTGTACGCAGTCTCAGGAGCAGCTCCTGCTTGTAAATCACATGGAGGCAGCACATTCACATAGGAAATGCTTCATAAATATTGCTTGCACTGGTGAATAAATGATGAGGAATCTGCTAGTCTTTGGATCCTATCCCTGGGTTATTATCAAGAGTCATTCTCTCCCAGCCTGTTAAACAAGATTTTTTTTTTCTGCCTGACTTCCTGTATAATGCATACGATAATATTTCTCTATTGAGAGTCTAAATTTATGTCATGAGACCTCTCATTCTGATGGTAGGCAAGTGTTTTAAAAGTAGATATGTTTTCATAAATAATAGTATATCTTCTCTTCTGTCTCTAGAAAAAGTTACTAGCTTATAATTTTAAAAATTAAAGTAGTTTTTAATAAAAACAGCTTCTCCCCAACCCAGTAATTCTAATCACTATTTTTTGAATTACTGGTGATGACTAGCTATAACACTACGACACAGTGGGGATGTTCCAGTTTTATTTTATTTTTTTTTTTTTTATGCTGAGATCTGTCTGCTAAAGGAGGTTAAGAAATACTACCTTAAACACTCTTGTATTGTGTATATTTTCAAAAAAGTAGACAAATCTAGTGAGATTAATACTAAGTTCCCTGATTCATATTTTCTCCTTGGTTCACTTATTTTAGTAAGTACAGATTAGCCTTAATTATGTCCATCTAACTTATGAACAAATATGCTGTAGTATTTAATATCAGTTTCAGACAATGGAGTTACTAATCTGTCAGCTATCTGCTGGTTTTTAAGAGAAAGAATTGGGAGACTATTTTATATTTGTTTCATATACATATGTATGTATGTGAGTTGGAGTATAAATTATTAGTCTTGACACATAAATTACCAGATAATTAACTTGATTACCTGGTAGGCATCTAGTTGCAATTTTAAACACTTTACTGTCCTTAGAACTTCCAGTCTGTTCATTGATAAAATAATTGTTTCTACTTACTTGTCTCATAGGAAGCTTTAAATTATTGATAGTGTGTCTAAAATAGTATTTCTAACTTCTTGAGACACTACATGGAAGATGGAATTTTCTTATTACACTCGTCTAGTTCTGATTAATATAAATTTTAGGAATTATATCAAAAAGGACTTATTGGAAAAGAGCACCAAAATAATCTATTTTACTTGGGAGATGTAGCAAGTAAGTAGAATTATTTTTTTTGAATGATTACCAAAGTTATAGTTCTGTGCTCTCTAATTTATTAAGATGTCCAAGCAGCATACAAAAAACCTCACTTGATGCTTAGATAACCGCATTTCACTTGCAGTTCCCATTTGAATCTCCCTAGCCTGACAGTCTGATGGATACTACTAAAAATAGAAAAAAAAAAATAGCCAGTCAACTAAAAATAGAAACAAAAAATTAGCCAGGTGTGGTGGCTCAAACCTGTGGTCCCAGCTACTTGGGGGACTGAGGTAGGAGGATCACTTGAGCCCAAAGGTTTGAGGTTGCAGTGAGCTATGATGATTGCCATGGCACTCACTCTAGCCCGGGCAACAAAGTGAGACTCTGTCTCAAAAATAACAATGATAATAATAATTTGATTCTTAAAAGGCATCCACCATTCCAATCTGCCCATGAAACTGGGACTACCTTGATTATCAGTCAGACTGTCTTAGAAGGCTAGGGATATTCAAAGCCAAAGAATTTCAAAAGATAAATTCAGACATTGCCAAGCCAAAGGTCCTGTCAGTTTACCTGGAAATGTTAATTGTAAAATTTCTTAGAATTTGCATTTATTTAAAATACCCACTTCAGCTGAATCTTCTAAAGTGGGATTTTTTTGTGACTGTCTTTTTCTTCATTTCTCAGCATGTAATATTATCTCCCATTCATATAGTACTTCAAATTTCCAAATTATTCTTGCATATACTATTATTTAAGTGGTAACAATATCTTGTGAGCTAGGCTGGAGTGTGATCACTGGCCTCATTTTATAGACAAAGACACTGAGGCTCTGAGAGATCAGGTGTCAGGATGTATGCAGAGAGTGCACTAGAACCAAGACATCATGCTTCCGGGTCTAGAACAGTTTTCTATCACACCTATGCTGTGAAGACCAGAGTACATGGTGGTTACAAGCATGAGACAGCCAGAAATCTCAGTCCCCAGTCTACAACTTACATTCTATGCGACCTCAGAAAAATTTTATCACCTTGCTGAGGTCCAGTGTCCTCATCTGCAAGTTGTACCTATGAAATAAAATCTGTGCATCTTCAGCATCCTTCAACCACAAGCTGAGGTCACAAGAACTACCTCATGATGTTGTTGTTTGAAGTAAACAAGAAAACACATGTGAAGGATTTTAGCACAGTGCCAAACTCACAAAGTGATTCATAAACATTAGCTATGATGATAAGGAGTTTCATGCTGAGGGATCAAAGAGAAGAACAGATCAGACATAAAACCGGCGATATGCTGGTAAATATTTAACAATTGGTCCTCTGGAGAAAATAAATCCAAGCCCTTATTTGGTACATTTGTCAATTTCTGTGGTGTAGATTACTCCCACAATGGCCAATTTCAAGCTACCAATATGATGTCACTAAACATGGGTTTGGGAAGAGACAGGTGCAGTTGGCTCTGGCGAAGCAGTCTGCGCCAATTCCAGCACTGCAAAGACTAAGAAGGAAAGTGAGTCCAACTGCCAAGTGTTTCGCTTTCCCTCTATTAAATTAGATGTGGCTGCTTTGTTGATAATCTTATATTTTATAGTTTAAAAGGCATAGATATTGCCTCCATTTTTAGTTTTCGACCTTAAGATTTCTACCTGAGGACCCAGAAGCCAATTGTACCTGTGAAATAAAATCTGTCCATCCAAGATCTACTCTTCTGCGCCTTTAACTGCAAGCTGAGATCATAGAGCAACCTGCATAGCTCCCCACACACTCAGGAGGGATCCCAGCCCCTCTTTCTTGACCCCATTAAGCAAGAGTAAGACAGACTTGTTTCAAAAGCAAAATTATAGAATCCCCACATTTAGGAGCCTTCTTTTTCTTCTTAGTCTAGCAGCGCAAAGGCTGACAAAACCAATATAGTCTAAGCCAACACAATATACATGGTGAAACTCTGAGCTTGTGCAACATTAAGATTTTATAACTTTGGATGTACATGTGATAGAAGCAAACACGTTATAACTGTTGTTTATTCATCAAAGCCACATTTTTGGAGAGAACAGAGGGACAAGAACATTAAGATGATTTATGAAATCACTCAACACCAAACTGAACTATGACAGTCCATGAGTTAGAAAAATCAGATCAAATGATGTAACTCAAAAGATGGTGGTGGTGTGGAAGCCAAACATTTGGACCACATCATTTTAAAATTTTAAGAATCACTTCAGCAGCTCCTTCTTATAACTGGCTTCTGATATATATCAGTATTTATTAAATTTAAAATTGGTCAAACATCTTACCTTATATTATATTTAATCAGAGTTTTGAAAGAAAGAAAAGTAAATTGAAGAAGGATACCTTGGTCTTTATATTCCTGCTCTCAACTTCAAAATTGTGTTTAGATACCATGGGTGTCTTAATAGAGCAATAAACTGTGTGTGTCTTCTGAAACGTGTGTTTCAGAAAACATGGTTTGCATTCGGTTCTCTACTATCACTAATTATCAGCATTTGAAATTGATAGAGTCAAATATCCTCAAGGAGAAAGGCTTTCTTACAAACTGGAATATAGTCTCCCTGAGTGATTATGAAAAATTCTAATAAAGCAGTGAACATACTAGAGTTATAAATAACTGGTTAATGGGGAAAGATTTTAAATGTGGCCCCTCTAGAGGAGTAATCCTGCTTCTTTCCATTTCTCAAGTTTTTTCTTTACACACAGGATATCTGCTACTTATGCCAAGAAGAAATAAAGAGACTTGAAAGACCTTTTATTTAAGGTCTACTATGGGCAGTCCCACCTCCAGCAGTCATGCCCTTTCCCACGCTCAAGGTCTGAGAAACAGCCTGGCAGGCCTTCCCCCAGTGGACAC